GACTACCTGGTTCCTTAGATATGATCAGCCATGGAAGTGGGAAGTGTTCTACCAGCATGAAAATATAATAATATTTAAATATTAAAGAAAGCTGTTTGCTACAATTACCAGATGAATGCACAAAAAAGTTCATAAACAGAATTGCTAGCTTATTTATTGTTAAATAGAAAGTTTTTTCGATGAACGATTAGGAAAAAAAAATTACTCTGTGTTGATGTGTGTTGTGTTGTCCCTGCTGAACCAGCCGAGATTCGATCCATCTATGGCCAACTTTAGTGGTAACAGTACTTCCAGGAGTCTAACAGGACAGCTCCTATAAACCCACCCATAAGTTTTGGTTGATAGTTTTCTGATTGGGGTTGGTTTATCATGATTTTTCCTTGTGCACGCTGGTTGTTATTTTTATGAAACTGAGGGTGAGGTGGGTAGGAGGGTGTTTAAACCACTTGCCTACCGGGCACTTTTGCTCCCTTCGTGCCCAGGCCAATTTTCAGCTTTCAGTGCTGTCACACTTTAAATGACAATTGCGCGATCATGCAACATTGTACCCATATGAAATTTTTGCCATTTTTTTTCACACACATAGAGCTTTCTTTTGGTGGTATTTAATTGCCACTGGGTGTTTTTTTTTTTGCACTATAAACAAAAAACAGCAAAAAATGTAAAAAAAAAAAATTTAAGTTTTTTTTTGTTTCTATTATAACATTTTGCAAACAGGTAATTTTTCTCCTTCACTGATGTGCGTTGATGAGGCTGCACTGATAAGCAGCACTGACAGGCTGTACTGATGAGGGAGCACTGATGAGGTGGCACTGGTGGCCATTGATAAGGAGGCACTGATGATGCTGCACTGATATACAGCAATGATGGGCACTGATGAGCAACACTGACTGGCGGCATTGACGGCACTGCTGGGCACTGGTAGGAGGCACCAATCATCAGGGCACTGATCATTAGTGCCCTGATGATCGGTGCAGATGTCCTCCGTGTCATTTGCCGGTTATCGCAGTACTTTCCTCACACTGTGACAGCATAAGGAAAGTGCTGCCGATAACCGGCAACTGTATTTACATTGTGATCTGCTGTGACACAGCAGATCATTGCATTGGACACAGCTGATCACAAGATAAAAGGCCACTGTGATTGGCCATTTACCTCATCATGTGATAAGCATCAGAGTGCGCTGGGTGTGCGCCGCTGGGGGTGTGTGGGAGGGTGCATTCTGGGAGACGTCATATGATGCCCTCCCAGAACTGGACAACCGTGCTGTATCCGTCATTCGGCTATAGCACCGTTGGCAAATGGTTAAACTCTTTTTGGTTTGTGTTCACGGTAGAGCCAATTATTTCTCAGGTAGCTGTCCTGGGAGATTCTTGGAAGTACAATTACCTGTAGGTCCAACTGTGGGTTTTCACTTAAATTGACCACAGACCCTGGGGCATTATTTTTTTACTCCCACTGACAACAGGGCATTTTTTTTATCCCACTGGCCATTGGTAAGGGGGCATATTTATGACTTCTAATGACCACAGTCTGACCCCTCAACAGCTTGGAGAACAATGAACTGGCCCATTGTTTAAAAAGTTTGTGGATCCCTATTCTGAACCCAACTATGGGCCGGCACATTTACTTTTAGCCTTTTGGGCTGCTTTATTAACTTACAAAATGGACTATGTATTGCATAGTGCTTTCTGAATGTTGGGAGTTTTGGTGCCTACAGATTTTGTAGAATCTGATGTAAAAACAGACAGCCAAAGTGCAAGTAAGTAAGCCTAAGGGTAAAACAAATCTTAATGCCCAAGCACAATTTTCCAACTTTGACATGTGTGAGTAAAACTGTATATACTTTGTGCATCCAGATGGATTGTTTCAGGACAAATTGGGCTTTTATTTTTCATTTGATGGTGAATGGTAGTGGATATCTTCTGATTTTATTATCAAAGGAAAACTGGTCCAAAACAGTAAAAAAAAAAAAAAAAAAAATTTATTTTACATTTATTTGTATATTTCTGGCTGCTACCATAACCTACCACCAAAGAACAATTCAAAATAAATTCTGCTTCTGACAATCGCAGGCAGCGATACCACATATGTTTATGTCAGTTGTTGCCTAAAATACGCTGACACTAACTGACACCGATACTAAAAAATTAATAGAAAAACAAAAAACAATTCTGACCCTGACCCTTACCTTGACCCAAACACTAACTCCTGGCACTGACCTAGATCAACCGTTGATCTATGTTTTTGTTTTTTAATTATTTTATTTTACACACTTTTTTTCTCTTTGAAAGGACAGAGACATAAAATGTATATCTCTCCCGCATTTAGAGAGGGAAAACAGAGGGGCAGGCTTCACAATGACTGCGGGCCCATGGAAAAAAGCCCAGTCCAGTGGGGCCACATATTTGCGTACAGTCAGTGTGAAGGGGTTAAAAAAAATGTTTTTCAATAATCTGCACTTGGTACCCCATAATGACAAAGTGAAAACAGAAATTTAGAAATATTTGCAAATGTATGAAAAAAGGAAATATCACATTTTCATAAGTATTCAGACCCTTTGCAACAACACTTGAAATCAGGTGCCTCATATTTCTCTTGATTGTTGCTGAGATGTTTCTACACTTTGATTGGAGTCCACCTGTGGTAAATTAAATTGATTGGACATGATTTGGAAAGGCACACAACCTCTCTATAAAAGGCATCACAGCCAACAATGCATACTGTATCAGACCAAAAGCCATGAGGTCAAAGGAACTACCTGCAGAGCTCAGAGGCAGGATTATTACAAGGCACAGATCTGGGAAAAGCTACAAACAAATTTCTGCTGCACTAAAGGTTGCCAAGAGCACAGTGGCCTCCATAATGCTCAAATGGAAGACATTTGGCACAGCCAGGACTCTTCCAAGAGCTGGTCACCCAGCCAAATCGAGCAATCGGGGAAGAAAGACTTTAGTGAGAGAGGTGACCAAGAACCCGATGGTCACTCTAATTGAGTTCCAGTGATCCTGTATGGAGATGGGACAAAGTTCCAGAAGGACATCCATCACTGCAGCCCTCCACCGATCTGGGCTTTATGGCAGAGTGGCTAGACCGGGTGTCGGCAACCCGCGGCTCTTTTTCACCTTGGCTGCGGCTCCGGAGCACACTGCCCACCAGGTGACAGGCGGCCCTTTTAATCCGGCCCGCGGAGCTAGGCTCCTCTCACAGTCCGCCCTGAAGACCGGTGTAGCATGAAAATCTGTCTCCTATGAGGATCTGTCCCCCTCGACGTATCTGCGCATGTGCCGGAGATCGCCGATCGGCTGCTAATGCCTGAAACTGGCACATGCACAGATACGTCGAGGGGGACAGATCCTCATAGGAGACAGATTTTCATGCTACACCGGAATGGCGCGGGAACACGGCGAGAGGAACGCGCGGAGGAAAGGTAAGTGAATTGACACAGGGGGGACTTGGGGACTTAATATGGGGGGATGAATTTATATTGGGAATGAATTACTATATGGGGGGATGAATTACTAGGGGGGTTGGGGGGTTGAATTACTATATGGGGGATGAATTACTATATGGAAGATGAATTACTATATGGAGGATGAATTACTATATGGAGGATGAATACTATAGGGGGGATGAATTACTATAGGGGGGATGAATTACTATATGGGGGATGAATTACTATATGGGGGATGAATTACTATAGGGGGGATGAATTACTATAGGGGGGATGAATTACTATAGGGAGGATGAATTACTATATGGGGGATGAATTACTATATGGGGGATGAATTACTATATGGGGGATGAATTACTATATGGGGGATGTATTTTCATTTTTAAAAATGTGGCTCTCAAAATAAATTACAATCGTGGTTTTGGCGAGATTTGGCTCAGTTGAAAAAAAAGGTTGCCCACCACTGACCTAAGGCTATGATTGTGATTATGACGATACACTGTGGCCCTGATTAACCCTTTGCTTACTGGGCCCTTAAACCCCCTTCATGACCAGAGCGCTTTTTGCAATATATGCAGTGTCGGATTTGTTTTAAATGTTGCAATGGTTTTGCGGCTCCCAGTCTTTTTTTCCCTCTCGGAAACGGGTCCAAGTGGCTCTTTATGTCTTAAAGGTTGCAGACCCCTGGGCTAGACGGAAGCTTCTGCTGTGCAAAACACACGAAAGCCCACTTGCGGTTTGCAAAAAAATCACCTGAAGGACTCTCAGACTGTAAGGAACAAGATTCTCTGGTCTAATGAAACCAAGATTAAACTGTTTGGCCTTAATTCTAAACATTATGTCTGGAGGAAACCAAGCACCACTCATCACCTGCCGAGTACCATCCCAACAATGAAGCATGACAATGAGAGAATCATGCTGTGGGGGTGTTTTTCAGCAGCAGCAACATGACAACGATCCTAAGCACACAGCCAAGACAACACAGGTAAGGCTTAGGGACAACTCTTTGAATGTCCTAGAGTAGCCCAGCCAGAGCCCTGACTGGAACCCTATTTAACATCTCTGCAAAGACCTGAAAATGGCTGTCCACCATCGGTCCCTATCCAACCTGACTGAACTTGACAGGATTTGCAAAAATGAATGGCAGAAAATCCCCCAATCCAGGTGTGAAAAGCTTTTCACATCATACCCAAAAAGACTTGAGATTGAAATTGCTTGCAAACGTGCTTCAACAAAGTACTGAGTAAAGTGTCTTAAGTATATGTGATATTTAATTTTTTTTCTTTTTAATAAATTCACAGACTTTTCTAATATTCTGTTTTCACTTTGTCATTTTGGGAGTATTGAGTGTAGATTGAGAAAAAAAAAATCAGTTTAAACAACTGTATCAGGCTGGAACATAACAAAATGGATAAAGTGAAGGAGGACTGAATACTTTATGAATGAACTGTATACATAACAACAATTAAAAATGTTACCTAATCTATTTGGCCATTATCCTGTTGACATTTAAAATGAATATATATAGTAGAAAAAAAGAGCTTACTCTTTCACTTTTGACTGAACCTGTAACTTCTTCATCCTTGAGGTGCCGCTTAAACTTTGGAGGCATTGTGTTCAATTACAAAAACACAGCAACGGAACAGGAGCTTTATAGGTGCTTTCCTTATAAATTATCCAGCTATAGGGCCCTGTAAAAACAGAAATTACAGTATAATAATTAACGAATAACATTTAGGTACTACAAGCCAACAGTCAAGGCTAGTTCAATATTTTACCAACTCCTACTGCCTACCAGCAGCATAAGGCAACAGGTTCACTTTAACAGCGACTCCACAAGTTAGACATACTTGCCTTTCTGACCTGCACCACACCATTTGGGTGGTGGGAGCAAAGACAGTTAGCCCTGTGTAAGCTTTAGGTCCTTGTGGAACTCTCAAAGGGCTTTCTCCACCCTAATGTAACAGCATGGAGCATTTGAGTGGCCAAGCACAAGCACTTAGCATGAAGGAAGGCCAGTACTCTATGTAAGATATTGCTCTTTTATTGCAAACAGCCAGTTTCAATGTGCAAGAGGTCCTATTTGTCAAGGCCTTAAAAAAAAGTGCCCTCATAATGTGTGTTGGTGATTGTTGATTCCACGAGCTTTATCCTACATGGATTGCTGGGCTTCCGTCGTACCAAGTCTCTATTGTTGCCACCGCTAGCCCTGTACCCTGGAGACAAGAAGCTTGTGTATGAAATGGATAAATTTTTTCTCAAGCATAAGCAACGTCACATGGAAAGAAAAGAAGTCACAATAACACATACCTAGGGGTATCTAGTATTTCCCTTCGCTCCAGGTTGCCAAATAAAGAGGTGGGGAAATTAAAGGAAAGTTGAATGTGTGCAGCTGGTATGGCTGCCATTGAAAAGAACCTTACCTGTCCAGGTCACAAGCCATCCCTCCTTCCACTAATGCTCACCTTTCCCAATCTGTCCCATAGTTCCATTTGTCTGCAGGAACCCTTGGAAATGCCCACAACATTTGAGTATAAGAGAATATGACCTTCACCTATTCCTCCCTGGATAGATTGCTTGGACCTTAGTAGTCTATCACCAAGCCTGATGGGGGAGGGGAGAAGGCCAGTAACCCAAAGCATGTGTCAACACGGACTAACATACAGCTTACACAGGAAGCAGACTTAGGACTTGAGCAGGCGACCGTCGTATCAATGGGTTAAAGAATATGTAAACCCAGCATCTCATTTTCCTGATATGTGCCTACTGTACCATGTATTTGCATGAAAAATATCCTGTTCTCTTTGTATTGCTTCCTTTGTGTGAAATCCCAGGTGTTTGCACCAGTCCCTCTGCTTTCCTATTAAAAACTGACCACACTAAGCAGGAGAACACATCATGGTCAGTTATCTCACTGTGCTGGGAACTCAGTATGCTCTCCTCCAATTATCAGTTGTCCTGACACACACCCCTTGCACAGCCATTCACTGGGAAGCCCAGTGTACTGCTGTTTATCCTTCCTCAGCTCCTATTTAGCTGAGAAAAGAAAGATCACTTACAAAAAAAAAATTAAGGGGAAAAAAAATAAAATACAAAAATTTTTTTTTTATATCTACAGTGGCGAAAATAATTATTTGATCCCCTGCAGATTTTGTAATTTTGCACACTTACAAAGAAATGAAGGGTCTATAATTTTTATCATAGGTGTATTTTAAAAGTTAGAAACAGAATATCAGCCAATAGTCCAGAAAAAAAAACACACGACACAAAAGTTATAAACAGAGTTGCAGTTAAGTGAGTAAAATAAGTATTTGATCCCCTACCAACCAACTATAATTCTGGCTCCCACAGACTTGCTATGTGCTTATGTGGTACACAGACTAGTCCTGTCAATTTAAGAAGATGCTCCTAACGACAATTCGATATTGCGTATAAAAGACACCTGTCCACAGAATCTCTTTCCTCCATTCAAGCCTCACCATCATGGGCAAGAACAAACAGCTGTCAAAGGACATCATGGAAAAGATTGTAGACCTGCACAAGGCTGGAATGGGCTACAATACCATCATCAAGAAGCTTGGTGAGATGGAGACAACTGTTGGAGCAATTATTCGCAAATGGAAGAAATACAAAATAACCATCAATTGCCCTCGGTCTTGAGCTCCATGCAAGATTTCACCTCATGAGGCAAGGATGATCATGAGAAAAGTGAGGGACCAGCCCAGACTACACAGGAGGAGCTTGTGAATGATCTCAAGGCAGTTGGGACCAAAGTCACCAAACAAGCCATTGGTAATGCAATACGCCACCATGGATTGAAATCGTGCAGTGCTGGCAAGGTCCCCCTCCTTAAGAAGGCACATGTACATCTAAACGATTCAGAGAAGGATTGGGAGAAAGTGCTGTGGTCAGATGAGACCAAAATTGAGCTCTTTGGAATTAACTCGACTCGTCGTGTTTGGAGGAAGAAAAATGCTGACTATGACCCTAGGAACACCATTCCTACAGTAAAGGTGGAAACACTGTGCTTTGGGGCTGTTTCTCTGCTAAAGGTATGGTCCGACTTTGCCACATTGAGAGGCCAATGGATGGAGCCATGGATTGTAAAATCTTTGATGAGAACCTTCTTCACTTCCAAAACACTGACGATGGGACTTGGATGGGTCTTCCAGCATGACAATGATCCAAAACATACCGTCAAGGCAACAAAGGAGTGGCTAAAGAATAAGCACATTAAGGTCATGGTGTGGCCTAGCCAGTCTCCAGACCTTAATCCTATAGAAAATGTATGAAGGGAGCTGAAACGTCAAGTTGCCAAGCTAAAGACGAGAAACCTTAAAGATTTAGAGAAGATCTGTAAAGAAGAGTGGACAAAAGTCCATCCTGAGATGTGTGCAAACCCAGTAACCAACTACAAGAAACATCTTGGTTTCTCCACCAAGTACGAAGTCATGAATCCTGTATGGGCTGCCTTAAAGAATATGTAAACCCAACATTTCATATTCCTGATATGTGCCTGCTGTACCATGTACTTGTATGAAAAAGTAACCTGTTCTCTTTGTATTACTTCCTTTGTGTGAATTCCCTGGTGTTCTTGCTAGTGCCTCTGCTTTCCTATTAAAGGATAGGTTCACCTTTTCTTACATGTTACACCTGTATTTAGGGTGTAACATGTTACTGTTGCAGCAGCTCTGCACCCCCCCTCCCTCTGGATCCCTCGTTTTGACAGCGGGCAGGGGATCTTCTTCCCGCACCAGATGTCACAATTTAAAAAAAAGCCACGGCTGTACTGGGCTCTGCCCACCCAGCCACATCATTCACAGAATTCTGTCAATGGTAGAACAACAGCTACCGTCAGCCATTGCTGCTGCCGCGCTTGTAGCGTTCAGTGAACTATCAGGGTGCTGATGAACGAGTGTTCATCGATGCTTCCTGTCACTGTGAAACTGCCTGCTCATACGAGGTACGAGCAGACAGATATACCAACAGTCTGCAGGAGCATGAGACTGCACTCCTGATCTCTTGATTGCGGGTGCAGTGCTCTGCAGGCTCCTAATAATGAAAAAAAAATACAAATGCACATTTTTTTAAGCAGAAGAGCTCAGTATGGTCAGTTTTCTGACTGTGCTGGGAGCTAATCCAATGATCTTGCTTGTTTTGAAATTCCCACCCTCACCCCCTGCACTGTCATTCACTGGGAAGACCAGTGTGCTCCTGTAGCTCTCTATGCAGCTGAGAACAGAGTGCTTGATCACAAAAAGAAGAAAAAAACATGGTATTTATATTGTTTTGATATCTACAGTGAAGGAAATAAGTACAAATCAGTGCATGATTTGTTAGACATGCATTTCTTTTGAATTTTTTGTTGCTACTCTGTCTCTCAGTGTTACAATACAGCTACCATTCGATTTTTAGACTGATCATTTGTTTGTGAGTGGGCAAACATTCAAAATCAGAAGGGAATCAAATACTTATTTTCTTCACTGTATACACAAATGTTTTGCCTTTCATTTCTATTTTAAATTGTATAGGTTGTTTTACAAGGCGAGGGTTTACATATACTTTGAGCCTATCGACTAAACAAGGAACATGTTGCAATGGGAGTACTGACATTGACGGGCAATACATTGGCTAAATGGTTAGCACTTTCGCTTGGCAGTACTAGGGTCATTGGTTCAAATCCCAACCATGGCACCACCAAGCAAACCATAAGCAGCTCCATCCAATTACAAAGAAGTCTGATACAACACAGAAAAAGCTGCATACAACTTAGAAGCAGCTTGTAGCAACTAACTTAAAAGGCCAATCTAAACAACTCAAAAGAGAATCAAAACATCTCAAAAGAATCTGAAGGCATAATACATTTGACTAACTTTTGAGTTTAAAGTATGTCTACACATGCCCTAAGGGGGGCCTTCTCCCACTAATGTAGGTAAGCATGCCACTGACTACCAATGTAAGGGCAATTCTTCTCCCTGACTATCCATGTAAAGGGGGGTGAGTTGAAGCGTAAAGTCACATTGAGAGTACTACAAAGCTAATTTATATAATGAAGGGTGAGATGAGAAATGTGCACAGCAATTTGGGCAGCACAGTGGCTAAGTGGTTAGCACTTCTGCCAAGCAGCATTAGGGTCGTTGCTTCGAATTCCAACCACGGCACTACCTGCCTGGAGTTTTCATGTTCTCCCTGTGCCTGTGGGGGTTTCCTTCGAGTACTCCGATTTCCTTCCACCAGGGGCGGACTGACAACTCATGGGGCCCCCGGGCAATAGGGGATCATGGGGCCCCTGTGTCCTTGCCCAAACTAAAAAAAGCCTATGAAAAAGGTACAAGGGGCATCTCATAGTGCCCCCTACTGACCCCGGGCCCAAATGGTCAGTCCGCCCCTGCCTCCCACACTCCAAAGACATGCTGGTAGGTTAATTGGATCCTGTCTAAATTGTCCCTAGTATGTGTATGTATGAATGTGAGTTAGGGACCTTAGATTGTACACCCCTTGTGGCTCAGGGACTGATGTGAATGTACAATATATAAAAAATTTAAAAGCGCTGCGTAAATTGACAGTGCTATATAAGTACCTGAAATAAATAAATTGATGATAGTCAGCACA